ATTTATCATTAGCTATTTATATTGAACCATCATTTATGGATGCTTATTGGCAACGTGCACTTATTTATATGATATTTGAACATTATGATGAAGCATTAGATTCATTAAATATGTGTATTAAATTTAATAAAACTCATGCCGGTGCTTATAAATTACGTGGTGATGTATATTCAATTAAAAATGATTTAGCTTTAGCCATAGCTAATTATTCACAAGCTATTCGTTATAATCCAACAGATCATGAAGCTTATTATCAACGTGCACAAACTTATGAACGACGAAATGAAATTCTTTTAGCTATGGATGATTATGTACAAGTAACTCGATTGAATCCAAAAAATATTGATGCTTGGTAAGTCATTTAATATTGTCATTGTTTTCAAAAAAAAAACACATTCTCTTAGGTATAAACATGCTATGTATTATTTTAATACAAATAATTATGATTATGCTATTGGTGATTTTACAGAATTATTAAAACGTCAATCAGATCATGTTACAGCACGTCTTTATCGTGGTATTTCATATTTCTATCTTGAATATTATCAATTAGCTTTAGCTGATTTTTCTGCTACACTTCATTATGATCCATCAAATTGGGAAGCTTATTATCATCGTGCTTGTCTACTTCGTACATGTAATCCAGCTCAAGCATTAAAAGATTTTAGTATATCATTATTAATTAATCCTGAATATGAAAATGTTGGTGCATATCTTCATCGAGCATTAATTTATTGTCAACAAAATCAATTTGATGCAGCTATTGCGGATTATGAAGCTGTATTAATATTAGATCGTGAACATGCACCAGCATTATGTAATTTAGCTATTATTTATATGAGAACAAATGTACAAAAAGCTTTACAATTATTTTCAAGAGCTATTGAAGCTGAACCAACATATGTTCGAGCTTATTTTTGTCGTGCTTATTTCTATACTCAAATTAATAAATTACAACAAGCTTATTCAGATTATACGAAAAGTAAAACTTAAAATTTATTTTTCCTATATGAAAAGAATTATCTTGAATTTGTTTTTTTTTGTTTGTTTGTTAAGTTTATCATATGTTTCCGGATCAAAATGCTGCTATGGTACTTCGAGGAAATATACTTCTTGCTATGGGACAACTTGATTTAGCATCATTCTGTGTTGAAGTAGCTGCTAAATTACAATCATTATCTCATCCTGAAGAAGATGGATTGCCATCAATATCATCTTCAATGAAAATGAATGCATCAAGTCCTCAACAACAGGCTATTGTACATTCATTTCTTGAACAATTTGATTATGCTTTATCAATTATGGAACGTGAATGTTCATTTCATCCAACAGCTGCTAATTATCGTATGCTTGGTAGATTACGTATAAAAGCTAAACGATTTGATGATGCACGAGATGCATTTGAAAAATGTATACAAGCATGTCAAAATACTATTACTGATCAAACAATTGAACTTCATGGTGCTTATTTAGATTTAAGTAAATGTCTTATACAACTTAAACGTTATCCACAAGCTATAGAACAATTAACTATACTTATAAAACTTCAACAATCAAATCCAAATGCTGAAGCTTATTTACAACGTGGTATTGCTAAAATGAGAATGTTTACTAAATATACTGCACAAGAATTACTAAAATTATCATCAAATAGACGACCATTATTAGATATTAATAAAGCACTTGTTATTGAACAAAATAGTGCTGAAGCATATCTTGCACGAGCTGCTTGGTAAATATCAAACAATATTCGACATTATAAATTTGAATATTCTTTTTTTTTGTTTTTCTAGGTATGCTCGTTGTGAACGTTATTCAAAAGGTGTATTAAATTGTAATCAAGCTATTCGTTTAAGTCCAAAACTTGTTCGTGCTTATCTTTATCGTGGTTGTTTAAAATATTCTCTTCGTCTATATGAACATGCTATTAAAGATTTATCAATAGCATTACAAATTGATCCATCTTGTTCACATGCATATTATAATCGTGCATTATGTTATGTACGTCGAGGAAATCTTTCATTTGCATTAAAAGATTTTGCTATTGTTTTATGTCTTGTATCAACAATAAAAAATAGTAAAACACAATTACTTGAACTTGAAACATATGTTAATCGAGGTTTATTACAATATGAACATAAAGATTTTGAAAATTCATTAATAGATTTTCAACATGCATTACAATTAGTATTAATATCGAATGATGATAAAAGAATACAATTACTTAAACATAAATTAATATATACAATTGGACAATGTCATCATCGTTTAGCACAATTTGATAAAGCTATTGAACAATTTATATCATCAGAAATAATTGAACAAACTACAATAGATATGAATTTTCGACATGATTTATGGATAGCTCAAGCCAATGTTTATATGGATATTGGTGATGATAAATCAAAATTACAAGCAACAAAATTATTTGAATTTGTATTACATGAAAATCCTTTACATGAAAATGCACGACTTAATCTTGGTTATTGTTTTCGACAACGTGGTTATTATCAACGTGCTTGGATACAATTTTCAGCTATTCTTCATTTTAATCCATCACATGTACGTGCACTTGAAGCACGTGCTATTGTTTGTTTACAAATGAATCATCCAACAGAAGCATTTATTGATCTTAATCAAGCATTACGTTTTCAACCATCATCAGCTCAATTACTTACAAATCGTGGTGTTATTCAACAATTTTTAGGTGATAATAGAAATGCTATGTGTGATTATCGTGCAGCTATGCTTGCTGATCCAAATAATGCATTTGCACATTATAATGCAGGAAATATACTTATGTTTCATGGACAATTTCCACAAGCTATTAGTTTATTTGATCGAGTTTTAGAAATAAATCCACGAGATGAAGCAGCATTAACAAATCGTGCTATAGCTAAAGTTGTTTTAAAACAATATGATAGTGCACGTGAAGATCTTGAACATGCTTTAAGAATTTCACCATTAAGTGCACATATTCATGTAGATCTTGGACAATTATTATTAACAATGAATGAACCATATGAAGCAGAAAAACATTTTTCACGAGCTTTACAAATTCGTCCATGTGATCCAGTTGTGTATAAATGGCGAGGTGATGCACGATCAAAACAAGATGATAAACGACAAGAAGCTTTAGATGATTATCGTACTTGTGTTGAACTTAATGATGCATTACAATTAGCACGAAAACATGGACTTATTAAAGCACCGACTAAAACTAGACGAAGATTGTGATTTACTGTTTCATTTTTCCTTTTCTTTTTTGAAGATTACTTATTTTTTTTCCTAAACTCTCATTATTTGAAAGATTTTATTAATAAAACTTGATTGTAACATTGAAGATTCAAAGAACTGAATATGATAATGATGAATAAGACGCTGAAAGAGGAATAATTTTGGATTAAGTTAACACTTATTTTGAGAATGCATATTTTAAAATTTTCCAATAGATTTGAATATGAATAAATAGTCTTAGATTCATGACAGATACTAACATGATACTTGCTCTCGTGATATTGAGAACATTAGCGGCAAGAATGAAGACGAGATCTTGATCTAGTTTCAATGCTATTCTAATTGGGTTTTGTTCATTCATAATTCTAACCAAGAACTTCAGGAAAAAACTATCACAGAAGCAAGAATTGTGGATTCTAAAAATCTGCATCCACGACTATTACTTCCACTAGACTTGCCAATACTGCCCGTGAAAAACAAAAGTGTGGAACTCACAAATTCCGATTGTTATAAATTTATGATACATTGCCAGAGGCGTTAAGTTTATTTTATAAAATGCCAAATATATAAATAAATCAAAGTTATAAAAACTTTCATAGTTGATACAAATGCTCGGAAATTATATCATTTAGAATTCTTATTCTACCAATTTTGTTTGATTCATTTAACATCGTTCTACAGTAGGGTTGTCATCATGAACTACTGTTGTTTAATATTCCACTCTATGGCAGGCCAAAATTGTGTGAAAGTATGGGCATGGAATATCTCGTCATACAATGTCAATCACAATTACATATTTGCTACATGTTTTTACCTCTTGTTTGTCATTATAGTGCCCTCATGAAAATAAATTAAATATTTAACAGAAAAAAGAATGACACATTCAAATCAAATTGTAGATTTTAGTGAATTTGAAAATGCAAAAAGATTAGTTGCTATAGTTCGCTTCATTAACACCTTCAGTCTAAATTCAAACTATCAAGAACAAGATCAATATTTCACACATGATGAACTGTCTTGTTTTAATTAAATTAAACCATATTCAATATCTCATGGAAATCATAATCTGATATTGATTATGATAAAAATCAGACCACTTTCTTTCATATTCTGAATAATTAATTTTTACATTAAACTAAAAAAGTTTCCATTTTTCTAGAAACTCATGAACAGATGAACCAAATAGTCATTCTAATAGAATTAAAAATAATAGTGACTTGATTAGAAGGTTATAACACTTCATATTATAAAAAAATTTTCTCCTTTTATTGAAAGCAATCAATCATTTTCTTTGACTTATATATAAAACAAAATTCACATTTTGTAAAAAGAAATAACGCAACACTCTTCCTGCCTAAGATCGAATGCCTCTGCTTATAATTAATTAGAAAATTTCGATAATTCTAGAACTTGACACATACTCCTCAATCTGTGAAATTGTAACTATAAATATCTTTCAAATAAAATATAATCACTATATATATATATATCTATGTTTAATATTATTTTTCTTACCAATTGATTCCATGAAGCTTTCTTCTAATTCGTATTCATTCATATATCTAGACTATAATTTACACAAATTAAATTAATAACAAAAAAATATTCTTATTAGAAGAGAGTATTCCAGAATAAAATGAACAATGCGAAAATACTAACAGAATTTTACAAACGCTGGTAAAAACGAAAAATGTATACTTTTTCATTTCAATTTTGTGCTTTATTCATTTGATTCTAATGCATCATATTTAACTTTTATAATGTCACCATATCGCTTGTATTTGGCTCCTGTAATGCATACCACAATACTTTTTTTCTGGATAGAGATTCGATAAATCAATTTGAAGCTTGAAAAAAAGAATTGAATTGAAAATCTTTGTTGGTCTCTTTCTTTTTTACTTACATCGCCCATATATGTTTGCTCTTGTGCAAGTAAAGACAGATTATTTTTGATACTTAAATAAAGACGTTGTTGACGTACATCCACTAATGATGGTTGCCATTCAAATCTAAATAATCATCAAAAATATATTAAATTTATATTTAATAACTTTATTTTATTATCTCTTACAAACCATCCTATGTTGGATTAACTGTATCATAAATAGATTTTGTTTTTTTTTATCCTTCTTGGAATCTGGTACTAAATAACGACGTACATGTGAATCAGGTAAATTCCGTTGATGAATATTCATAAGTCCTCTAGAAAAAGAATTTGATTTTTTTTTGTATAAAATTAATTCTTCAGAGAACACTTGCATGCATATACAGTTACAGATAAAGCTGAACGATGAATAGAATAACGAGGGTGTGGGTGTGAATTGTGGGTGTGAATAAGCCTACAACAGGACACCCACATCCCGCGCCCACACCCACACTCACACCCATATTGTGACATAACCAATTTTGTGGAACTCACATATATTCTCGAAGAAAATAGTGAGTGTAAGTTTCAGGTTCAACTTTTGGGCAGTTCCGCCCCCCCCCCCCCCCCTCCCCCTTCTTTCCCATTACAGATACTTAGCAACGGAGAAAGAGAACATTACACCCACACCCCCATTACAGACACCCCACCATTACAGATATACTCCACATTACAGACAGGTCACCACTACAAACCTCAACAACCGCGCATAGAAGGCTTTACATTCTATATAATATATCAATGCTATCATAGATATTCGAAAAAAGGCTATTTTGAAGTTTAAAAAACAGGCATCAGGATAGCAAGTTTAAAAGATATACATGAGTTCCACATTTCAGCTCCTTTGGAGCTGCGCTAACAAGCTTGTCTCAAGTGAATACACTTGACTCAAGATTCTGACTTCCGCTTAAACTCCTCAAGCCACATCTTTTTGTCGAATAAAATTGAAATGAAGGCTTATGTCATCGGCTTGTTCTCAAAAATAACTACTGTACGCGTGAACCAAAGCATGATAATGTTACATCCGTGACAAAACTTAATTAGTCGTCTCGCGTTATGATAAGTTCTGAAATGATCTTTTTGTTTTATTTATGAAAAGAAAACACTACATAGCAAACAACAACGACGAACTAGAGGAGAAAACATGAGTTGTTTCTTGTCGAAGGTTATGCTGTTTGATTTACATTATTGGGTGTTGCTGCTGTAATTGTCGCAATGGCTTGCGTCACTTGCTGACATCCGCTGTATGTCGAAAGTAATTTTCTGAAAAACTTCTTTCTTAACGGTTTTGACGAGCTGAGATAAATGTAGAAACTGACGGCAAAATTTAAATAAAAAAGAAAATTAGTCACTGTGGTACAAAGATTTTCTTTCGCCGCTCTTAAAGCATCCTTTTGTATTTGGTTTGTTATTGCATTGTACAGGCTGTTTATTGTATAAGGTATTGTTGATATGGTAATCGAAGAAACTTGCAACATTAACATTCTTGTTAGTTGATATTCCTGACGTTGATTTGTGGATAAACGTTGCTGTTGTGGTTCGATGCGTCGTCGGCGGATTTTGTGTATATTTTTCCATGTCAACAATCCAAATGCAACAAAAATTGCTAATGGTAATACATTGTAGAGAATTAAAATGATAAAATAATTTAGATAATATGCATAAACTGTCGATCGATTAACACAAACAGTTTGATTTGCTGCAGCTGGATAAATGTTAACCATTATCACGATTGGTAAACCGTGTAAAGACCAGAACACAACCGTTGAGACACATAGCAACCGTGCTGTTGATATTTTACTCATCTGTCGAAAGCGAACTTCACGACAGCTTATTAAGTATCGATCGATTGTCGCCCAGCTGACACATGTCAACGATGTTAATATGGAAACGTGACCCAAATATTGTCGTGCTTTACAGAGGAATAGGTTTGTCTTTGTTACATCATATTGTAAACCGATTAAGATACGCAATGAAAGTGGAATGACAATTGCAATTAAACTTGAAATTGATGCAGTAAGTAAATAAAATTGGCATGGACTGGGTGGGAATAATTTTCTCGACAAAAACATCAGAATATTTAAACAATTCCCAATAAGACCACTGATAAAGACTGGAATGCCAAAGTAAATTGTAAA